TCCACGGAAAAAAATTGCGTCATTTAAAGTTGTGTTTGTAAGCCATCTATTGCCATATTACTTGCCACTTAAACTAATTCCTTTTGTCTTCATTTTTTGTGAATTAAATAAAACTGTATTGTTTCTTAAAATAGCAGCAGGTTACAATAATACTTATTTAAATTAACAATTAACATTGTCTTAATTTGCATTTTAAAAATGGTACTGTATTATAATTGCCTTTAGAAACTTACTTCTAAGTTAAAATAATTTAAATTAAATATGGGCAGTTATAGATACATTTTTGATTTAAAAAACATTTTATTTAAAATGAAATAACGCGGTGTTATACTCATATAATTTTGCTTATGAATATATACTATGTATCTTTTACTATATCGTGTATACGTTTATTCATTATAACAATGAAAAACTCGTATAATCAATTTAAAGAAGTTTTAATTTTAACATGTGTATTTATTGTTCTTTGAAGTTCTTTCCAAATTATTAAATAAACTATTTTGTTTATTTAATAACCTTGAATAATTTCAAGGTTACCTACTTTCCTCTCGTGACACGCCAGTTGATAATCATTGTTCTAGTTGAACGACATAAATTTTCTGTTGAACTTTCTTCTTCCAAGATGCTATATTTAATTGTTATTAAATTTTCCCTTGAAAAGATAATCTATCTATATCTAGGAGATGTAAGAATGTATTTTTTCCCTCATTGGCTATCATCCTTATTTGTTATCATCGTATCTCATCAAATAATAATTTCCTCTTTCTTTATTGCTTTTCTAAGAAAACCATGAATGCAACAACTTTTTTGATTCTACGATATGCATTTCGAATGTTTTAGCGCTTCTCTTCATCAATGATTATTTGTAATACAATTTTTAATAAACTAGCAACGAATTACTCAACTTTCTCACATTTAAAATTATGGTGGTGCCATCTGTTATCATATTTTATTTTTAAAAAATTTATATTTTAACTATTATAAAATGACAGAAAACTTAATTTTGAGGGTAGATATGGATTTTATAAAAAAAAAAAAAAAATTGTATTTGCTAATAACGAGTAAAATTGTCATTAAGTCAGACTCTACTGACGACCCCTTATCTTCCACTTCTTGACCTTTAACCACCAAAATTTAATAGCATCAATCTCTCTAACACTTGTATATAAATCTCCCTGCAAAATTTCAGAAAATTCCGACAAAAAGCACAGGAGTTATTAAGCTTTAAACAGGATGAACAAAATCGTGTCATAACCCACACACACACATAACATTCGTACATACAGAAATTACCCCTAACCTTTTGCATTTCTTGACGTTTCAAGGTGTCCTTTGTCCGAAAATGTAAAAGTCTTGGTCGGCTCATTTTTGATCGATCGCCATACTTTCCTTCTGTTATATAGAACAGCCGGAAAAGTAAAAATTATACACTAATTTATGAATATTTAAAGCATATACTTAAGATTTTCTGACCTTATTAAAGTCTACTGCATATATTCTTTCTGACTTTAAAAATTTAAGTTCATTAACTAAAAACAATAATAAAATTTTATGAAAACAAAACTTAAAAATTTCAGAGTGGAGCAGTTCTTTAAATTAATTTCATTTTAATGAAATATTAAAGTTATTACTTAAAATACTTATTGTGAAAGTATCTAATATTTTTTAGAAATCATTGCAAACATTGTACAGTAATATCTCGTTTCAACCGTTTCTACACCTGTAGTTTACTGTTCTATTTTTTACAAACATTTATATTATTGTTGTTATGAACTCCTTCATTAACAAATTTCAATATATGTAAGATAAATTAAAAACTGTTAAAATAATGTTCGTTCTCGCCTCAAACTAGCGCTCGTGTGCAAATGCACAGCTCAAATGCTCAAAAACACATATGCTATTTGCATGCTATAGCCAGGTCCATAATATATTTAACTCGCACATTAGCTTGCTATCTATTCAATATCGTTCTCAACTAACTGAAACATATAACATTGTAAAATAACAACGAATAGCATTAAAAAATTTTCATTCGTGAAAAATATTTAATTTGTCTTCTTTCGAATTCAGGTTGTTGCAGAAGCTAAAATCATACACTTTTCATTGGCAACAACTACTGATCACATGACTAAAATTAATGTTACCAAAAATGTTTTAATCTCTGAATAAATGGGTCGCATGTCCTTGCCTCAGGCGCGATCTTATTCCACTTTTCTTTACATAAGTATTTGTTATCCGTTTAGTTATACACGAGTACAGTATAACTAGACGGTTAAAAATAAATATTTCTTTTTTGAAGAATGTATGGATTTTTATCATTTTAATCGGAAACTTGTTTCTATTAATAAAACACTGTAATATATGGCGTAGTAAAACAAAATAGTAAAATAGGTTTATAGCCCATAAACAGTAAAGTCGTCATTGAGACATAGTACTTGACCCTATGACTATAATAAGAATATGAATATATATAATTATAATGCCAGCTGATGTCATTCTATATTTGAAACTAAAATATGACAACTCAAAACATATGACACCGAGTAAACAGACCTACATTATTTCCATAGCAAGTCTGGTAACCTTAACTCTATTTATAAAGAATATTTTTACATAACCTTATAAATATATACGCATGCAATATCTTTATATTAGTTATTGGCTGTATAACAAATTGTATGCAATAGCAATTCATACATTTGAGAAGCATATAAAATGTAATTTAATTTTTTTGTAGTTTAGTATGCATTATGTATCTTTCTAGACGGTTAGAATCATGGCCTCCATATTTTACAGCTGGGCCCTCAGTCCAGGATCATTGGCGATCCCCTCCCCTCCTTCCCACTCAAACCCGAGACCTTAGTGGTGTGAGGCGAAGGACTTAACCACTCGGCCCTGCGGCCGCTTTGGGATATAAGGCAACTAAATGACAAAAAAATATTATTTTCATTTACAAATTAAGCATGCATTTACAAAAGCATAGATTAGATTTATTAGAGACAATAGAGGAATTACACCGACAGATTTTACAATGACGAGCACGACATTGAAAAGAAAAACAAAATAGAAACCAACACAAAAAAAAACTGAAAGAATGACAGAAGTTGAAAAACAAAGCACATCAACAAGACAAAACTCAAGAAACTAGCGATTAAATTATTTTGCAGTAAATTTTCTGGCTTTTGCCGAAGCAAATGTTTCGATCACATCACTAAAATTTGTTTGATTAACTAAGTCATTTTCAATGCATAAAATTGCTAGACTAGTTAGGCTGGCCATCTTCATACCGGGCACTCACGAACCCGGACCCCCTGACTAGGGTCCGGTCAGTCACTACCACGTGAGGCCGTGGTTAGCGTATTCTCGTATGAAAAATAAAATTTGGTAAGTATAATGCGTGGCGGAGTGATTTTCTAAACAAATACAGTATATGAATGTAATTTTAATTAATACTGTATATCCAAAGTAAGAGGAATCTCCATGAAATATATATAACTTATAAATAAGTTGTAGGCCTATACGAGTATATAACGAAGTAGAATCAGAACACGTTTTCTCGCTACTATATATGTTTGTGTATATATGTTATATGTAATATATGTAGTAAAATATATCTAAAATGAATGCAATAGTATCGGCCAAACTACTCTATTTGGTTTTTCGTTTCAGACAAGTTTTACTATATGTATAAGTCAGGAAAAAGAAAAAAAGATAAACTCATGCTTGAACGGATAATTTTCTCTAATGTGCTTCATTTTCAAAAGCATGATAAAATCATTGAAATCATGTATGTGATGCACAATAGCAAAATCTTTGTAAAATTCCAGGACCATGAAATGACACCTGGATGGCTGAGGCGGAAGCAGCAGCCTGTTATTCTCAGGAAAAAATTCCCGAGGTTCCTCAGCCAGACTATATTTAGAATCCTAGTCAGTAACATTAGGAATTTTTCATGGGCAATCTGTCTAGATTACGTTGACCCCATCCTTTCCATTGTGGTCCTGCCCGAACCCATAATGAGCATTCAAGACCATTTTAATGTCTAAGGAGTGGAAAGAATCCAAAAATTTAAAAAAGTATCTGTTTTAATTGTCTTATTCCGTTGGACATAGATTTTCTAGTCAAGCTTAATTCATTACCTATTGTATAATCAAGTTAGAAAATATAAAACTTTTAATATTTATTTAAAACTTGTTCTTATATTGTTATAAAAATAACTAACTCCTTAGTAATTAATTTTTCTTCTACTTAGTGTTAGTACTGAATTTTAATTAATTCTAATAACTTTTCCAAGAGGCTCTGATTATTTCTTATTTTATCTAGTTAATATAGGTAAATCGGAAAATAGGTAAAACCGTTTTATCTTAAAACATTTCACCGTAATCATTTGGAAACTTTTATTTACAAACAAAAATAAATAAATAAAATAAAATGAATGGTACGTTTTGTAGAGAATATGTTTTAGACAGATTTTATTGTATAGGTAACTTATTTGAATTACAAGAAACAATAAACATACGTTTCAACTCTTTTATATATAAGTTATATACTATATATCTATGTATGTATGTATATATATATATATATATATATTTTAGCTATTTTCGCAAATGGGAGATTTATTTTTATCCTTAATCCTTAATAGGAGAATTGCTATTAATATACGTGTAGACAAAAGAGCAAGAATTTTTAGATGGATTTGCAATTTTTTTCATTCATCATGGTTATACATCTGATCATTTATTCACAAAAGTAAACAAAACAATCCATTATCCATTATTTACCCTTGTTTTTACAAGGTTAACTTCTGACAATGAATGGCATAGAAGGAAGTGCTTTAAATATCCTTGAATTATGAATTGCTATTCCTGTTTGTAATCAATTTAAAAAATTTTTAAGTATAAATGTAGTTTTATTAATTTTATTTAATTACAATTTATTTATTTATCACTTGGAATATTAAGAAAATTTTATACTCATTTTTTTTTTATTTCTTGCAGAATTAATTAATTGAAGATGACGTTACAATGTGTCCAGAAAAGTTTGAATAAAAGATATAGACGATTTGGAGAAATAATTACTCGTTATCGTTTCTATTTTTTATTAATTCCTATTCTTATGACTCTTCTGTTATCTTTGGGAATTTTTAGATTATCTTACGTTCGAGATTTAGAATATTTGTTCTCTCCTGTCAATGGAAGAGCTAAAAAAGATAAAGAAACGATAGACAAGCTATTTCCTATGAACGTATCTGAAAATTTTGATTTCTTAAGAGTTATTAATAAGATACGTTTTGGAGTTATCATTATTATATCAAACGATAAAAAGAATATGCTTGAAGAACAGACTTTTCAAACTGTATTAAAAATTGATGAAATTATTCGTAACATTTCTATAACTTCGAACGGAGAGATAATGAATTATAGTAATATATGTGCAAAATATTCCGGAGAATGTGCTAAAATGGATGTATTAGATTTAAAATCAAGAATTAAAAATATATCTCTGGGTAAAGACTTCATTACATTTCCAACATATTATGACTCGAAGACGTCACGCCTCATTGCTTATCCTGTGAGTTTGGGAGGTGTTATCATTGATGATAATAGTCATGTAAAATATGTTGAAGCCATTCGCTTATTTTACTTTTTAGATAATAGTGACAGAATTAAAGATAAAATCTCTGTAAAATGGGAAAAAGAATTCCTAAATACTTTAAATAGAATAAAGTTTGAGGGATTCGAAGTTACCAGAATTGCATCTTCCTCTTTAGATAATGTGACTGCACGTAATACCGATTTGATATTGCCTACTAGTCCTCTTTCTATAATTCTAATTCTTATATTCTCTGTACTTAGTTGCATGTCGAGAGATTGTGTTAGAAGTAAACCATGGTTAGGAATAGCAGCAAGCATTTCTGCTGGTTTATCAATAGCTTCTACTTTCGGACTTCTTATGTTATGTGGAGTCGAATATGCAGATATTAATATTTCTGTGCCTTTCCTTATCTTAGGTAAGATACGTTTTGGAGCTTTTGATGAATTTATAAAAATATTAATGATAATTATATAAGATATAGGTAAACATAATAAAAATTTGTGAAAGATAAATTAAATATATTTTATAATGAATGAATAGTTTTTATTAACTAAAAATAAACTTTCATGTGTGTGTTAAGTAGTATGTAGGAAAATAAAATATTTTCAACAGGAACACTCACATTCATTTGTTTCAACATTAACTAACTCGTTTCTATTTATATTCTTATTTTTTCCCCTGTTCTTTGGCATAATGCCATTTGACTAAAATATTATATTGCTTCCAGTCATCAACTTAGTAGTTCGCAACACGCAACATTAATAATTTATTTTTTTGTTTTGATGAAAAGAAAAACATTAATTTTAACTTAAAATTAAATAAAAAGTGCGCCAATCGAAACATTAAACGCTATAAAAACTAATTGCTTTTATTTCGTTTATAAGGGGATGCTGTCTGGCGACATCACCCCTTATTAGACACCACGAGCCGCCAATGCAACGTAGAGAGATAGAAAGAAAGATAACAAGTGAAATTAATACATATTCTCATTCATTGATTAATTTAAATAACAAGAAAAACATTAATTATTATTACAAATTATTTATGTATATTCACAGATGAGTCATAGGTATATCCTGGTGAAAAAATTAAATTACTGTATTCAAAAACTACAAATGGTATTCAATTCAAATTAACTGCAATTGTTTAAGTAGTAAATAAACTATGAAATTCTGTAAGCATTTATAAAATTAGTCAATAGCATAGTGTCTGACCGCTGCTGAAATTCCTTTCATTTGTATCTTATGCGCTCCTGAAAGATCTACGGATTTTCCATTGGAGACACAGAAACTTTATCTTTAATTGTCCTTCATATTGCAAGGTCGGAGTGTTAAATCAAGATTCTATGAAAACCATTCGATACCGTCTTCAACCTTTTCCGGTCCTCTCAGAGGAACCAAACACCATGTTTATTGCTTTTCTTACGTGTACAATGTGCGCTAACTATCCCTCTACCGAACTTGTTTCTAACAGACTGTTCAAAAATTATTTTCCTGTCAGGACATACATATGCCCCACCCTATATAATTTTTATATTTCAATATTAGAATATTAAATAGTTTTGATGATAATTCTAATAATCGGTTAAATTTCCTTGAAGGAAAATCAAAAATACGTTTTAAAAACTATCGAGTAGATTATTTTTCTAATATTAAAATTGTTTTGTATGAATACATTGTTATATGTTATCCTGATGCAGTATAAATATTTTAAAATATTGTTTCAGGTATCGGAGTTGATGATTCTTTCGTTTTGATAGCAGCATGGAGGAGAAGTAATCCAAAACATAGCGTGGAATCGAGAATGGGTGAAAGTTATTCAGAAGCTGCAGTATCTATAACACTTACTTCTGTCACTAACTTTTTATCATTTTCCATCGGCTTATTGACATCCTTTCCAATTGTTCAAATATTCTGTTTATATGCCTCAATTGCTATACTTTTAGCTTACATTTATCAAATAACATTTTTTGGCGCTTGTATGGCTTACAGCGGATTTAGAGAAGAACAGGAATTACATCCGTTAACTTTTAGAAAAATTGAAATTAAAAATTCTGATGTAGGTAAGTGTCAAAATTATTTACTTTTAAACAATGGGATATATTGAAATTCTAAAGTGCCAGAGAGTTTAAGCATATTACCTATTTAAATTAATGTAAATAGGCCTACAGTTGCCTCTCCAAGTTTGAATATCAGTGAAATCAGTTTGGATTCTTGCCATAAATGTTTTAATAATATTTAGTTATGTGATAATTTTTAATTACCTATATCCTATTTAATTATTTTTTCTAGGTGAGCGATTTTTATCGCATACGAACGAAATCCAACATTTGCAACCTGAAGATAACAATGTAATGACCTTCTTTCGTGATTACATTGGAGAATTCTTATCAAAAACAAAAGGAAAATTATTAGTTTTAATGGTAATGATTGTTTACCTTGGATTATCATTTTGGGGCGCTTATCTTCTGAAAGTAGGTTTAGATTACAGGAAATTATTCCCTTACGGATCCTACGAGTCAGAAATAATGAAAAATGACTTCAAATACTTTACGCATTATCCAGATAGAATACATATTGCAATAACTTCACCTTTAGACTATTCCGATACTAGAATACAGGATAAAATAGATGATTTGCTTTATAAATTTGAAAACAACAGTCATATATCTTCATCAAAATATACAGAATCTTGGCTTAAATATTACAAAGATTTTTATACACATCACCCTCACTCGTGGTTTTTCCTTCATGGATATAATTTATCTCATAAACAAGACTTTATTGAAGGTTTGAAGATATTCTTACAACTTCCTTGGGCTCGCAGGTTCAAATCTGATATACTATTTAATGAAAATGAAACAGAGATTATTGCCAGTCGTTTTTTCGTTCAGAGTCAGAACGTTACTTATGGAGAATTGCAAAAACAACTATTACTGGATTGTCGCAATTATGTCGATAATTCTGGATTACCCACAACAATACATAGCTTATGGTTTCCTGTCTACGAACATTTATCAATTATCAAGACTACTGCTCTACAATCTATCGGTATTGCTGCTGTATGTGTAACTATCACGACTTTATTATTTATACCAGATTTTAGTTGTGCAGTTTCAATTACAATTGCTATCGCTTCGATACAAATTGGAATTATTGGATTCATGTCACTTTGGAATGTTAATTTAGATATGATCTCCGTCATTGCTCTAGTGATGTGTGTAGGATTTTCAGTCGATTATTCTGCTCACATTTGTTACTCGTATATTACTGCTAAGAAGACATCGTCCTCGGAACGCATTAAGGAATCGTTATTTGCAGTTGGTATGCCAATCGTACAAGGATCTGTTTCAACGGTATTGGGATTAGCTTCTTTAGCATTGACGTCATCTTATTCATTTACAGTTGTATTCAAATTAGTGTTCTTGGTTATTCTATTTGCTACTTTACACAGTATTTTTGCTATTCCAGTTCTTCTCAGTGTGTTTGATATATTTATAGACAGAAAATATTCCGTTTCTGCAAATGTTACATCATCGCCATTGAAAAAACAGACAAGGACCGAAATCCCAAATCTTGGAAACACAGAGAGTCAACCACTCTCTTAAGTATTATAAGATAAAAAATAATTAAATAAAATTAGCTCATGAACATTTAAAAAAAATATAACGCACAAATTTAATGTCATTTTTTGCATATCGTATATAGTATTATGATCACTATAAGATACTTATTGTGATAAGTACACAATACACAGTTTATTGTGATAAACTGTGTATTGTGTATTTGTATAAATTGTGTATATAATTAATGAATGAATTCATAAGCTGATTAATATTCTTAATTATAAAGTCTAATTGTAAATTATCTAAAACAAGAGTTTTCAATCTGGTCAGTAGCGACCTCAGAAGAGGTCACTCGATTTATCAAGGGAAGTCAATAAATTACTACAATAATTGAGTTATCAATGGACAAATTTAATAATAATTAAAATAATTTTAATTTTATTATAATAAAACACAACCAATTTTGAATTTTTATTTATGTTTAATAAAATATTATTCTATTAATTCTCTATTTGATATTTTATTTCATCCCATTTGTACTTCATTCTTATTTTCTATCAGTATAAAAAGTATAAAAATGATTGCAATCGCTGGTATAAAATACTTCTGTTAGAGCTTATGTTATTATTAGTTTATATTTTTATATATAATTGCCTTATATTATTGAGTTTTGTTGTTTAAGAGTAATGCTGGAAAAAAATGTAAGTTTTGAATTACAGAATATATGGATGTAAATAAAGATTATTTTAATATACAAAGTAATAAATTTGAGATTAAATGCTTAATAAATTATTATTTTCTTTCAAAAAAACAACAACATTTTTGTAAAATCATATTCGCAATTTTTTATATTTCTTCATTCAATTTTGTGATATTGTTTTATCTATTAACAGCATATTAATTATAACGTTATAAATAACCAAGCATTCAAGATAACAGAAAATAACTTTTGTTATCAACGAAACTTAAAAAGAAAATCAATTAACCAATAAATTTCCTTTTATTTTTTTAAAGAAAAAATTTTTACACTTCTCAGTGATGAAAGATCATTGAAGAATGATAGATTACTAAAGGATTACAACAATGATGATCAATGATCAATAAAGGAAGATTATTTATTTGGAATCAGTTTGAAAGTAAAAATTAAGTAGATTGTGACCTAGCCTATTCTTTATCTTGACTAAAAGGATATGATTTATCAACTACAATAAATACAACTACATCATAATTCATTACCCGGAAAACTTTGTTCTTGACTAAGAGGAATTGTGCGACATACAAATTAAATCTATTATCAATTTATCTCAATACTTTTTATTATAATAATTAAAACTAGCTTTTAAATATATAAATATTTATTTAAATATTAGTTATTTAAATTTATCAATAATTATACTTCATTAGTGTAAAGAAACTTACTAGGGTTTCATTACTATGAAAAATTCGCTTATTTCTGTTTATCCAACTTATCTTTTTAAAAAATACATTAATAATTTATGTAGACGTTAAGGAAAATCGCTAAGAGGCTTTTTAAAGAATTAACAATTACTTATAAATTATTCCTGACATAAAAAATAAAAACAAAATGAAAATACCCGTTCAAATATATTTGTCAGATAATTAATTAACCGTTGAAGAATTTAAAATTACTTGTCTAAAAAGGTTTAATTCGAAATTTATTAAGTATTTTAAGTTTAATTACATAAATTTTCTTAAGAGATATTATTATTTAGTTAAATTATAAATTACTTATTAAAAGTTTTAACAGAATATCTTATTATATCACTCATAATGTAGGCCTAAATGATAATTTTTTTTTTAAATTTTGATATAATGAATTAGTATTTTATATTCTTTTTTGACATCCTTGTACCAATTTAAACGGTATAATATACAGTATTATACCAAGGGTTGTCTCAAACTACATTCGAGAACTCAACTCAGCTTTTGCGTCGATATTCTCCACATCCCAAATGCAATTCATAATTATTCTATATACAAAACAATATTAGTTTTTATATATATTGATTAAATAGTTATAAATAATAATTTAAAATACAGGCCTAACAAAAGAATAAATCAATGGTAATATAAAAGAAAATTTAAAATAATGCGAAAAAAATTAAGAAAAATAAACTTCTCTAAAACTAAATAGATGATGCTTAAATTAATTGAGCGCTTGAAGGCCGTGGCGTTCTATCGGAACATCCCTATTTTCAGCGCTTAATAAAACTTGTTCCTAAATTTGAGATTAGCAGATACTGAGAGACCAGCGGAAATCTAGCTCTAAACTTTCGAAGGATCTCGAGAGGCTCCTTTTCCGTTTGACATGTACGAAGAAGGGATAAAGGAAGTTCTTTTTACGGATGAAACTTCAAAGCTGATGCGAAAAGCAGTAAATCATCTTCACTCCTTCCGCTTTATACTTTCAGGAAATTGTTGTAGGAGGAACTTTTTTGGTGTAGTAAAATACTCAAGCCTTGCAATAACTGCCGATGAGATGATCAATTTTAAGCGCTGTCGATCGATTGTTTAACATCGTTTCTAATTACTAATTACTTGCAGTACTAGAAATAGCGCTTTCAAGCTTCACTGATACAGAATTGAAAATAGGAAAGTTTCGTATGAGACATCGAAAATTGAAATGTTACATTCTGTAGCTTATAAAATATTTTTTTTTTTTTTTTCGATTCTGGTTTAGTTTGGTTTATTTGTTTACGTTAACGCGGCACGCGACACTGCCGATGGGAATGTCTCCCGGAAGGACTTTTTACGGGAAACTGACGCTATGACTAACGTGATGAAAACCTGGAAAACTCCACGTGGCCAGTCCATTGGCGAGGCGTGAATCCACGACCTCCTACCGTAGTTTCAGTGGTTTTATTCTGGTGAGATTTTTGATTCTGAATTTTTCTGTTAACGTTCTCGACATCTCTTTTGACTGAAAAGCATCATAGAAGATCAATTACGATCGGTGGTTGAATGCACTGTTCATTGCCATCATGTTTTACACTTTCAGAATGAGAACCACATTTGGAAGTATTCTCCGTATCGCCAAAATATCCGTAAGCATGAATGTCTCGTAAATTAAATTTTGTTCCTTGTCGCGCCAAAAATGCCTTAGTAGGTAGTTTTTGTACTAATTTTAAAAGATTAGTATAAAAAAGATGTCTTTTGCTTGTCCTGAAATGTCATTATATGGACTGTTAAATATTTCTCTAGACAGCGTTAAATAGAAGTACAGAATAATAATTACGATCACCCAGTATATACATTGAATAAAATTTTCTGAATTTTAAGTTGATAGTTATATGTTAATGTACAAATATCTATAGAGTGGCCATAAAGAACCTGTGTGCTACTTAGAAGTTACTATCATTCTCCGCATAAATTTTACTTTTCCTCGTATTTTTCTGGACGTCATCCACATGACTGCTTGAAGTCGTTAAAGGTATCAGTTTCTCATAACTGTTTTTAGGTCTTAAACTATTATAAATCAGAATTAAACAATTTTCCTGTTTATAATGCTTCGAAGCTAATTATCACATGTTAAACCAAACTTAACCCTATTAGATTATTGATTATCAAACTGACAATCAGATAATTAATAGATAACGCATGGTATCAGCAGAGCGTTCACTGCAACTTTTCCAAGGAGGAAAAAGACCACTATCATAATTTCAGTTTTGCTAAAATCAGGCTAATCGAGCATCTATAAGGTAATTTACCTATTACTAACAAGTAAGTGTGACTGAGAATAGAATTTTCCGACACTCCTTAGGAAATTAATTATAAGGTTCTACTTCGAAATCCGCTCGCCCTCGGTTAAAAAAATCTGATCTAATAGGGCAAATGTCTCGTTTGTCCCCAACCAGACGTCCATTGATGTGGGGTCTTTGTTATGATCACATTATACATTGCATACCCTCGTCATTATACTTTTTAAACAAAATCAAAGTTTTCGTTATCGTATCTTTTAAAATATAAAAATGATTTTATTCGGAAATTTTCCTATTTATGAAGTGATGAGCGTTTTTGGCACAAAAAATTAAACTTGTACATAGCTCTTAACGCAAAAACTCAACATATTCTAACTATGATAAAGATCTGAAAGACTTCATTATAACATATGCCTTTAAAATAACTTAACAGTCAAATATCAACAAAAACAAAATTAATAAATAAATTAAACAATCTGAATTCGAACTATTCAACGCGTAACAAGTCAAACCATATGAACAATACAACGACATTGTGCAATCATTCAAAACAATTTACACAATTCAATGTCAAAAACCTCTCCGAATGAATTACCCCGTTCCTTTTTTATCTATGTAATCATCATATTATTTCACTTGCTACAAAATGTTGAAATTGATATAATTGAATAACTATTTTCCTCTATGTATAATTAATTTCCTGTTAAGATAAAAAACAGTTATTATATAGACTATTTGTATTACTGATTCTTGTATGTACTGTATTTTATTTTTGTTTTACATATTACCGTATTTAAATACTGTATCAATTTTAAATAAAGGTTTACCAATAATAAGTTAATTAAACAATGAATACAGGTAACCCCTGTATAACACGGTAGTTACGGTCCAAAAAATTGTCGTGTTATGCGAATCCGTGTTATACGAAACAAAGAACTAATACGAAAAGGAGGGTTAGGTTCCAAAAATTAAAAAACATGCTAGTATATTTTCATAATTAAGATAAATATCTTCATTAAAATTTTTTAAATTGATACATATTAATATAAATTAAACAATGTTTTCTTCGTCATCACTAAAAACACTATTAATTAACCGAGAGCGTTTTCTTTTTGGCAAGTTATCCTTATCCTCTGAGCATTTTTCTGCATTATCTTCAGATCCATGCTTTACCTTTTGCAAAATGTATGTAATTTTAGATTGCTTGCTTCTAGTTAAAAGGTCTTTATAAATTTCCTTATATGGTGCTAAGCACTTATGAAGAATAAAGCAAGTATGGAATAAGGGAAAAACATTCGGCAACATCAGAAGCAGAAGCGTCGCGATCTGGCAACATTGAAACAAGTTTCGAGAAGGACCACGTGTATCGACAGAAGGCGAGAAGAGAAAATTTACATACTTAAGTACTAATAGTTCACGAAAATAATAATTTTCGTGAACTATTATTACTTAAGTATGTAAAAATTTATTACATTTCCTGTTGTTCGAGGGTTTTACCCAGTTCTCGAACCGTGTCAGAGTGAATCCGTGCTATAAAAGTACTGTGTTATACGGGGGATGGTACCAATTCTCGAACCGTGTTAGAGCGAATCCGTGCTATAGAAGTGCCGTGTTATACGGGGGTTACCTGTATATTGCATGCTGTTTTTATAAATTTATCACTGACTTGAAAGTTAATAACGTGGTCAAATAATCATTGCAACTTTTGAATAAGATTATATTTAGGGGCCGTCCATAAATTACGTAAGGTATTTTGGGGTGGGTGGGGGTCAAGGATTTCTTACAATTTTTTACTCGGGGGTAGGGGGGTAATAGATCTCGTCTTACGTAATATTCTTATTTTTATTTTTTGATCTCGTTGAGTGATGGCGTTTTGAATTCGGCTTCAATTTGGCGGTTTCTATTAAGAACACTCGTTGTCTCGTCTGATGTGATAGAGTAATAACGCTAG